TAACAAACCTAAATGTTTAAATACTTAATAAGTACAACTTCAAGATACATGAAACAAAAACTGAAATAATTTAAAGAGAAACAGACAAATCCACAATTACAGTTGGGATTTTCCATACTCTTCTGTCCATATCCGATATCAAAAGTAAACAGAAAACCAGAAAAGAAATAGTAGACTTAAACATTATCAATCCATTTTAATCAACTAATGTTTATAGAATACTCTACCGAACAGTTTAATATACCCTCTTCTCAAGTTCACATAAAATCTTTACCAAAATAAGATAATATTCAAGATCATAAAAGAATTCTCAATAAATTTAAATGGCTGTTGCTAAAACAGGGCTTAAAAATATACAGCACCAAACAAATACTAGAAAAGAAGAAAGACCACAAAGACATTACATATAAATGTAAAAAAAATCGTAAGACAACTACAGATCAATATTTACCCTGAACAAAGATGCAAAAATTCCAAATACAATTTTAGCAGATCAAATCCAACAATATTTTGTAAAGACAATTTATCACAACCAAGTGGGATTATCTCAGGAATGCAAAGTTGGTTTAACATTCAAAAATTAATGTAATTCACCATATCAGACTATAAAAGGAATACTACATGATCATTTCAGTAAATGGAGAAAAAGCATTTGACAAAATCCAAAATCTATTTCTTTTAAACTCTAAGCAAATGAGGAAGATAAAGAAACTTCCTCAATCTGATAAAAGCCATCTACAAAAGCCTACAGTTAACATATTTAATGTTTCATCCCTAAGATCAGGAAAACAAAATGTACATTCACCACTTACATTCAAATTTGTACTCAAGGTATTGGCCAGTTGTAATAAGGCAAGAAAAAGAAATAAAGGCATCCAGATTGGAAAGAAGAAGTGAAAGTGCTTTAATCAGAGTTAACATCCTCATTCACATTACAAAATCTAATGTAATCTAAAAAAATAAAAACAACAAAACCTACCAGAACAAGTTTAGCAATGCAGTAGGATATATAAGGCAATACAGTTCAATCAAAGCCTCAGTAAGTGTTTTTGTGGAAATTAACAATTTGTTTTAAAATTCATATGGGAATCCTGAGAAACTTAACAGAAACCCATGGGGGAGGGGAAGGAAGAAAAAAAAAAAAAGAGGTTAGAGTGGGAGAGAGCCAAAGCATAAGAGACTCATAAAAACTGAGAACAAACTGAGGGTTGATGGGGGGTGGGAGGGAGGGGAGGGTGGGTGACGGGTATTGAGGAGGGCACCTTTTGGGATGAGCACTGGGTGTTGTATGGAAACCAACTGACAATAAATTTCATATATTGAAAAAAAAAAAAGAAATGTTCCAAATTAGGTATTTTAGGAAAGGTATAGGTTATTTTTTCAAAATATTCTTCCCGGTTTTAAAAAAAAAATAAAATCTTTTGCATTAAAAAAATTAATTAATTAATTAATTAAATAAAATAAAATTCATATGGGAATGTTAAGTTCCAAAAATAGTCAAAATGGAGAACTAAGTTGGAAGATTAACACTATCTCATTTTAAGATGTATTATAAAGTTACAGTAATCAAAACTGTACTGTATTGGCATTAAGACAGAAAACACACCAATGGAACAACTAATTTTTGACATAAGTGCAAAAATATTTAAGTCAAGAAAGGGTAGCCTTTTCAACAAATGGTACAGGAACAATTAAATATGCATATTCAAAAAATGAATTTTGATCTATACTTTGCTCCATATACAAAACTAACTCCAAACTGATGAGATCTAGGGGTGCCAGGGTGGCTCAGTCAGTTGAGACTCCTGATTTAGGCTCAGATCATGAGCTCACGGTTCGTGAGCTCCAGCCCCACATCAGGCTCTATGCTCACAATGCAGAGCCTGCTTGGGATTCTCTCTCTCTCACCCTCTCTCTCTCTCTGTCCCCTCCCACTCATGCTGTCTCTCTCTCTCTAAAAATAAACTTAGGGGCACCTGAGTGGCTCAGCCGGCTGAGCATCCAACTTCAGCTCAGGTCATGATCTCGCGGTTTGTGAGTTCGAGCCCCGCGTCGGGCTCTGTGCTGACAGCTCAGAGCCTGGAGCCTGCTTCAGATTCTGGGTCTCCCTCTCTCTCTGCCCCTCCCCTGCTCATGCTCTGTCTCTCTCTGTCTCAAAAATAAATAAAACATCTAAAAATAAACAGGGATCAGACCTAAACAAAACTTTATAAAAAAACTTCTGTAAAAAAATACAGGCATCAAGCTATGTGACCTTGAGTCATCAAAAGGACAATCCATAAAAGAACAATTTCAAACTGGACAATCAAAATTTACAACTTCATCAAAATTTACAACAAAAGATACTGTTAAGAGAATGATAAGCCACAGACTAGGAAAAAATATTTCAAAACATATTATGTGAAAAGAATTCATATTCCAAATGTTCAAGGAACTCTTAAAATACAATAATAAGAAAGCAAACAACCTAATTTTAACAGGCAAAAAATTCAAACAGACATTTTCTCAAAGAAGATACATCAATGGCAAATAAGCACATAAAAAGATGCTCAACACCATTAGGAAATGCAGATTAAAACTACAAGATACCAGGGGCCTAGGTGGCTTAGTCAGTTGAGCGTCCAACTTTGATTTCAGCTTGGGTCATGATCTCAGTGGTTCGTGGGTTCGAGCCCTGTGTCAGCCTCTGTGCTGAGAAGGGATTCTCTGCCTCTCTCTCTCTGCCCCTCCCCTGCAAGTGCTGTCTCGGTCTCTCTCAAAAATAAACTTCAAAACAACACAAAAAAACTACAAGATACCAGTATATGTTAGCTAAAATTAAAGACTATACCAAGTATTGGCAAGGATGTAGAGGAACTGAAATTTTCATATACTGTTGGTGGGAATGTGAAAAAGTATAGGCCCTTTGGAAATAGTTTGGCAGTTAAATGTTCACCTATCATATAAACCAGCCATTCCAATTCTAGGTATTTGCTCAGGAAAAATGAAGCATTCGTCTATCTGTACAAAGGTTTGCATACAAATATTTACAACATTTCATAATAAAGAGTGAATAAACTAGCATATATCCATACTATACACTACCACTAAGCAAGTAAAAAAATGAACTATTCACACACACTACAACATGGATGAATCTCAAAATAACCATGCTGAGTAAAATACACCAATAAAAAAAGTGCATACTCTATTATTCCATTTCTATAAAATTCTAGAAAATGCAAACTAATCTACATAACTGTAAGAGATCAATGGCTGCCTGGGGATGCAAAGGAGAATAATGGATATGTTTGTTTCCTTGCCTTTGGTGATTATTTCACAGATATATACATATGTCAAAACCAATCAAACTGCACACAAATATGTGTAGTTTATATGTCAATTATATATGAAAAAAAGCTGTTAGAAGTTATGTTCTTACTCTTAAAGCCAATGGTAGTATACATCTTGACTGAACACAAAAGGGGGCTCTTCCAATGATTCTTTTGTATCTGAAGCCCAAAATAGATTCTGACAATAATATAATGAAGGGACACACAGGGTCCAGAGTATACATTGCTAACAAATGACTATTCTATTTCATGCCCATTAAGAGAAAAAGATACTGGGGCGCCTGGGTGGTGCAGTCGGTTAAGCGTCCGACTTCAGCCAGGTCACGATCTCGCGGTCCGTGAGTTCGAGCCCCGCGTCGGGCTCTGGGCTGATGGCTC